CCAGTCTTAAAGGAAAGAATCCAGTATTTTCACCCTTAAGTATAGTGTTAGCTGTAGATTTTTCATAAATGTCCTTTATCGGTTAGTTTCTTCCTGTTCCTAGGTTATCATAAATGAGCAATGAATTTTGTCATGCTTTTTCAGCATCTGTTGAATTGGCATATTTTTTCTTTGGTTTAATTTGAATCTGCTACCACAACCTCTAATGGAGATTCATCAGTGCCTGCTGATGATCCTTGTATTAGTCCATTTCTGTTGCTTCAGAGTACCTGAAACTGGGTAATTCATAAAGGAATAAAATTTATTTCTTACAGTTTTGGAAACTGGGAGGTCCAAGGTCCAGGGAACATAACTGGTGAGGGCCTTCACCCTGTAGAGGGCGGTGACTCTCTACAGCAACACAGGGTATCACATAGCAAGAATGGGAAGAGCTCTCTCGTGCTCCTTGTGAAGCCACCAGTCCACACCCATAATAACTCATACTCCATGAATGGATTAATCCATTCACGAGGGCACAGTCCTCATAATCCAGTCATTTCTCCAAGGCCCCACCTTTCAGCTAACATAATTGGATTTCCCACCCTCTTTACACTCACAATGGAGATCAAGTTTCCAATACATGAACTTTGGGGGCACACATTTGACCTGTAACAGTCCTTCATTTTTCTAATTACTGTATTTGCTTGCTCTCTCAGATGATTGTTTCATACCATCTTCACTTGTTAAACCTCCCCCCTCTGTCCTCTCAAAGCTAGTGACCTACTAGTACTTCAAAGAAAAGCTAATGCTTTCAGCATAGAATTCCCTTCTCTTTCCTCCTTCAAATGACCAACTCATCTACATTTGTACCCATCTTCTTCATCTTCCTCCTGTTCACATGTGGAAATGGGATTCCTGTCTTATTAAAACCAGTCTTCCTGCTGGATCTCTTCATCTTCCAGTTTAAGTGGTTCGTTCTTTCTGTTATCCCATCTTTACCACGTTATCAGTCTCTCTATCAACATATCTAGTAGCTTCTATATTTGAAAACAAAAATTTACCTTGACTGTACCTACCCCTCCAGTCCCTTTCCACATTTTTGCTTCTCCATAACACAACTTTTCCAGGTAGTTGCCTGAGTTCTTTTTCCGTTTGCCCACCTCCCTTTCACATTTCAGCCCAAACCGTTCTGTCCTCACATCTCCACCAGAATTCGTCAGGGTCTCCAGATAAGTTCCATGTTACCAGATTCAGTGGATGCTTCTCTTTTTATAAGTTCCCAGCAGCACTGGACACAGCTGACTGCTTGTTCTCCATATACCATCCTCTGTTGGCTACCATGTTGTACACGATCATGGCTTCTCTCTCACTCAGTCTTCTTTGCTGCTTCCTCCTCCTCTACCTGACCTTTAGCTGTTTTAGTGCTGCACAGGCCTGGGACCCATTTCTTGGCCCACACTCCATGATGGCAGACACTGTGTTGTTTACTATATGTATCCCCAGAGCCTGGAGCAGTGGCTCCTAGTGGGATCTCATTTTATTTGTTGAAATGGGTGAAGTACATAAGTAAAGGTGTACCAGGCAAGGCAGTAAGAATCTGTTCCTTGAAAAAAATAGTTGATTCCCGTTATTTACTAGTATAAAATCACTGTGGCAACTGGATTATCCAATACTGAACCATTGCTCCTTGGAGAAATACAAAGTTAGGTTCCCTCAAGCTTCTGGTCAAATTTTTGTCAACTGATAATTTTGTTTTATGTGGGTTTCTGTTTAAGGACACCTTATTTAATATATATTGTAGGCTGGCAAGTTAGCTCACGTGGGAGAGTGCAGTGCTGATAACACCAAGATCAAGGGTTTAGATCCCTGTACTGGCCAGCTGCCCAAAAGAAAAAAAATCAAGTTAGCTCACGTGGGAGAGTGCAGTGCTGATAACACCAAGATCAAGGGTTTAGATCCCTATACTGGCCAGCTGCCCAAAAGAAAAAACACACACACACACACACACACACACACGTATTTGATTTGTTAACATTAAACTCACAGCCAACGACACTTGTACCTGAACAAAGCTTATTAATGTGTATTTTCTCTGTAAGCACATCACAGCCTTCTTGTGCTGAGGAGCACTAGACAGCACTTCAGCACTGTGCTTGGGGGCCATTTTAAACAGCAAAATCACCAAGAAGAAACACAGAAATGAGAAAAATAGACACTAGACAACAAAGAGGACAGTTGTTTACAGTCTGAGAATAAACAAGAAGGCAGAACATCGCCTTGTGCCACCTCAGCTGGGAACATGTGCTTCATGCAACTCTGTGCATGTCCATGGATGACTGTAAAAGCACCATGAGTATTGATTTGGGAGTTACAAATAAACTTTAGGCAAATTCACAAATACAGAATATGTGACTAATGAGGATCCATTACATTTGAAAATAAGTTCTTTTCACCACTGATTTAATTTAGCAGGCCTGTGGATTTAAATAAAATTTACTATTTAATCAAAAGCCAGTTTTGTGTTTACCAGGTTTTCCTCTATGTCCCAGTTCTAGAATTAATAAAGCTCTAAGTCCTGCTCAGTTCCCCATTAAGGAACTTGATACCAGGTCTTATAACTAATTACAGGAGAGCCGAGACTGGAATCTGATTTTAAACTGATTTTCCTGAGGATCCCACCTCTCTGGGTCCCCATTATCTCCCCAGTACTTACCAAGATATCCAGCACTGCAGCAGTTGCCCAGTGCATATATTACAGTGAATGTAGCTGCACCTTTCCTAGGGTAGTTTCACTGCTTAGATGTAACA